TAATATGTGCGAAAACGATCAGATGGTTGTCATTAAGCACTCGGCCTTTGAAATCGATATCTTAAGGATGATATTGAGGTTTAATTTTGAAGACCAGTATTTTATTGTCAATGAGGTTAGTGATATACATACACGTATGTTAATTTTTTATGAGATTCAATTTACTTTTTACTTGTATCCAGAATAATAAGTCACATTTAATTCGGTTGAATCTATTTGAGAGTTTTCATAATCCACTCATGAATATCGGTTCCTATATTTATCACAAAAGGTTTTTGCAAAATATGGGACTTGATTGGGACTCCGATAAACTTATCATTGATTTGGTTAGTTATCTAATTTTTATGATAACATTATAAATCACACTTTACTAATTACAGTATTTTATGAATACAAATAGCTAACAGCAATCATACTGTTTAATCCTAACCGTCCGGGCCTACAGAACCAGCACATTCTTAAGTAAGTTATCAATTAAAATGAAACATATTTGTTTAAATAGATTTTAACTGATCATTCATAATGTTTTAGGTATCAACAAAATATTTATATATATCTTCTACAGCGCTATTTTCATATGAAGTACCGATCGGAGTTACTATCGGAAGTAAAACTATCTAGATTAATAAATAATTTAAGAATTTTGAACATAATTAGCGGTAAAATATGCTGTAATTCAAAGGTAGTTGATATGAAATCTTCGCCACTATTTCATGAAATTTGTGAACGAAATGAATAAAATGCTAATTTAAAATGTTAAAATGAAACTGTGAATTTTATTTATTTGTTATACAAATTGTCAGCTATCCACACCTGTAGCTAATCATCTAATCATCTAATTGTTTAAACGTGTGTTAATTATGTTTACAAAATACCGGTACACATAAACCCAGAACTAAATGTTATTTTTATCTGTGATAAGATCATTAATACCATGGAAACTATGTTTATTTTCAACAAGAATATTATACCAGACCTTTGTAAATTCTTTACAACAAATTAAGTAACTTATAATAGTATTAAGTAATAAAAGTAATTGTATCTACAGTATTTGTTAAGTTTATTTTTGATAGACCGTTTGTCTTAAAATATCAGTACTTGTAAATGGCATATAAAGCAAATAGGAATTGCCTTGTATGTGATGATGTAGCCAGTGGTGAGTTTGAATAAAAAATTACATTAAATACTCTATATTTATAATCGGATGTATTGATGGTTAGGCTATCATTTCGGTGGTTTGAGTTGCAATTCATGTAAAGCATTCTTTAAGAGAAGTGCATTGATATACGGGGTATGAGATGTACGATACCATAGACAATAAACTAATTTATTTATTTATTTCTACTAATTTAGACACAATTTAAATGTGATTTTGATGAAAAATGCCAAATTACTGTCGAAACTCGAGCTGAATGTAAGAAATGTCGTTTAGATAAATGTTTTGCCATAGGAATGAACACTGTATTTAAAAATATTGAGTTTAATGTTTGACAATATAATCACTTATTAATTTGATGCTATGTTTTAGAGTAAGTTTTATACTACACAACAAAAAGAGATGAGAAACTCAATCGTCGAAGCGAATAGAAAAAGGAAACAAAATATGATTACATGTAATGAAGTGGTCGTTAATTCAACTACAAGTCTATCCTCAAGTCATTTAATGGATTCACTGAATACAATGGTTTTAAACATTGAATATGAAAAACAAGGCAATATTAACCATAATGTCAACACTGTATCAGTGCATACATACAAATCAATAGTTGGTATGCAAACTAACTTTATTAATGACCAAAGTATTGGCAAACAAACGGAAAACGTTTATAATCTCAAGAATAATGCAAAACTCGTTAACCATTTCGTATATAATGAAAAGTCCAGTCTCTCGGTCACACCAATCTTGAGGCCAATCACCGATTATAGCAATCAGTTCAATGAATTAGAGGGCAATAAATTGAGTGAATTATTGAATGCCATGACTATTATGCAAATGCCAGCTATTTGTGAAAATTTATCACTTATTGATAGCTCTCATGAGGCGAAGAATATAATAATGGGTAGAATTGATGACAAAATACGAAAAATCATACAAATGTCCAAATGTTTGACACCATTTAATGATCTATGTGAAAATGATCAGTTAATACTCATTAAGTACTCATCCCTTGAAATCGATATCTTAAGAATGCTTTTGTGTTTCTATTATGAGGACAACTATTTTATTGTGACCGAGGTATTCAACACATTGAATTTAATTCATTTAATAATTATTATGATTGTTGTTGTTCATTTTCAATAGAATAACACATCGCATATAATTAAACTGGATCTATTTCAAGGATTCTTTAAGCTAGTCAAAAATAAAGATTTTAAAACTCATATAAGTTATCATAAAATGTTTTTCATGAATATGGGACTTGATTGGGATTCAGACAAACTTGTTATTGATCTGGTTGGAATTTCTATTTTAAGCGTTAATCTTGTTATGAATAATGATTATTAATATTTGTAATATAGTTAACTGCAATAATTCTGTTTAATCCCGAGAGACCAGATTTGATTCATAGAGAAATGGTTAAGTATGTTATCAAATGTAGAAAAATTATTTTTAAAATATTCTTCATTTATAGGCACCAACAAAATATTTACATTCATTTACTTCAACGCTATTTACAAATGAAATATAAATCTGGATTACTATCACAGGAGAAATATTTAAAATTTCAAAATAATATAAAATATTTAAATATATTAAATGAGAGAATCGCTCGCAATTCAAAGGCAATTGATTTGAAATCACTGCCACTTTTTCATGAGATTTATGATCGATAATCATTATTTGTATTACAGATTCATTTAATATTATATTTACATTTAATGTTACTTTATTGACTAATTATTATTATTTTAACATTATTTTTACTATCAATTTATTTAATTATCAATCGAAATAGATATTACCATGTTCTGTTATCAATGATAAGTTATCATGATTCATGAGTGTCTTTTTTAGTAAACATTTATGTAATTCATAAAAATAAATAACAATTTGAGTATAATATTTACCAATTAATTAAAGATATGCTAAAAATAAAACAAATTAATAACCAGGTAAAAGTCATTGTAATTAAATATAGGCAAACTCTAATTAACAAAAATGATATTTGATTGTGGTGTACCGAGATTATGACCACTAATCATGAGAGAACTTCATTAAATCTTAATTTAGATTTATTAAGTAATATAATAGTTGTTTTTAAAACTTAAATTTTGAAATTTTAAAGTAACTGAATTTATATCGACGGAAATGCCATGATGGTTTTTATTGAACGTGAATTTTTTAAGGTTATGTTTAAAATCATATTTCGATAGCAACTATGAATAAATTTTTAATTAAAATATATTTCCGTTCATGTAATACAAAATCAGTTTTAATAGAAAATTATTTTCCAATAAAACCTTATGTATAAACAAAAAGTATTTGAAAATACACTCTCATTATAAGATTTATTTGTATTTAACAAGCAATTCTTACCAGATACTAAATGGTTGCTTGCTTAGCGTGATTACCATGACTTTGGTGGTGATTATTGGACTATTGGTCAATAGTGGACTTGTTGTGGACGCGGCACTGGTACCAAAAGCTAATGTGCCTGAGACAGAGTCGTGGGATTGCAGTGACCATGGAAAATGTCACCATGATTGACAAATAACTGGCTGTCCACAACATTTTAAGTTTTAAATTTATTTCAAAATTAATTACAGAACTAGCAATTGTTTTTAAATAATACTATTATAATATTCATAATAATAATTTTTATTTCTTAAATAAAATATAAATTTTATTGCATTTTTAATATTGATGTTTAATTATTTAATTTTCACAAAACCATAAATCTCTGTGTTAAACTTAATATTATGTGGTTATAAATCTAACAACACCTTATTTATTAAATAAATGCTCAAGAGTAATTCAAATCTAACTATAATTCTGAACACAATTGAGTGCTCAAAAAATTGCCTAAATTGAGTCAACTATTTAGTGAGAGGGAGGGTCGACATCATAGACGACACCGATTTGTTTGCGGATAGAGTCCTGTACTTTGCTGATCGTAAGCGACGCGTCCCATGACATGACGGCGCTCTCCAGTTGACCCGATTTGAGACATTTTCGGACCTCATTGGCCTGAAAGCACAGACCTGTAGTGCCGTAGACCAGGGGTATAATTGGGTCCGGGTGCTTGAACTCATACAACTTATCATTCACATAGACTTTCTGTGTCGCTGAAAAGCTCGCACCTAACTGTATGGGGGGACAGGTATGCACTTAAATATATCGATATTGACTGATTGCGTAATATACCTTGATGATGCCTTTAGTGCCCACAATTGTGGCCTCATTGTCCAGATTTAGCAATGAGTGGCAGGAAATGGATGCCGTTTTCTGGTCCTTATACTGAAGGGAAGCGGCGAAGTCATAGTCGACGCCATTCTCGTTGAGGTGTCCGACGGCCACCACCTTCTCCGGGGTCTCGCCATTGAAGGCCTGCTCCACGATATTGATGGCATAGACGCCCAGATCGAGGACAGTGCCGCCACCCAACTCCTTACTGGCCACTCGGGCCACGTCGGCGATGTTGAAGCCCAAGTTGGCCGTAACGTGCAGTACATCCCCAATGACCCCCTGCTTGAGCTGATCCATAATGAACTCATAGGAGGGCAGGAATCGAGACAAGAGCGCCTCCATTACGAACAACTTCTTAGACTTAGCCAATGCGAATAACTCCTCGTTTTCTGGACAGGGATGCAAACGTTTGTATCAAAACTAATGTTGCTTTTCATTTGCGAAGTAATGTTTTGTTGATTACGTTTAGTATTGATATCGAGCGGCTTCTCCATGAGTATGTGTTTCCCATTTTGTAGCATCAGTTTGGCTGCGGACAGGTGTTGCGAGTTAACGGTCCCGATGTAGACCACCTCCACGTCCTTGTCTTTGGCCAACTCCTCATAAGATCCATAAGCCTTCGGTATATTAAATAGATTAGCAAAATCCTGGGCTGACTTCAGCTCCCGGGCCCCCACAGCCACGAACTGTTGGTTTATTTAATTATTATTAAGTTATAGCTTTGTTAGTTATTTTAGGTGTTACCTCGTGGTCAGTAGTTTTCATACTCAACACAGAGACGACAAAGTCGTGACATATTTTGCCGGCGCTATAAATACCCCATTTAGTGGCCATTATTAACTGAATTTATTTATTATAGTGATTGACACTGTCATATACTTATTAAAATTAACTTTTTATAACTAATTTAGTTTGTGAGTGCTTTTCAACAATATTGCGATGAGTTTATATACTCGACAAAAAACTAATCTTAAAATTAAAATTATTAAACAATTGATTATATCAAATATTTATATATCAAAGTTGTTGTATGCTTTTGTAATCAATGTATTTTTATTGATCAGTACTTTCCTATGAACTCATTAATTGTCTGTTAGAGTATAGATACAAGGTGATAATTAAATTAGAGTGCATTTGACTATATATTTTAATAAAAATATTATTCATTTTTTCTATTTAATCCCGATAGTCCAGATTTGATTCATAGAGAAATGTTATCAAATGTACAAATTATTTCAAAAATATTCTTTAATTATAGACGCCAACAAAATATTTACATTCATTTACTTCAACGCTACTTACAAATGAAATACAAATCTGGATTTCTATCACATGATAAATATTTATAATTTAAAAATAATATAATATATTTAAATATATTAAATGAGAGAATCGCTCGCAATTCAAAGGCAATTGATTTGAAATCACTGTCACATTTTCATGAGATTTATGATCGATAATCATTATTTGTATTACAAATTCATTTAAAATTATATTTACATTTAATGTTACTTTATTGAATAATTATTATTATTTAATATTATTTTTATTATCAAATCATTTAATTATCCATCGAAACAGATATTACCATGTTCTGTTATTTATGATAACTTATCGTACCATTGTAGATAAAGTTTTTATCAAACATTTTAATGACATTTTACTACAAGTGTTATGACATCTCTATATTAAAATTATTATTATTATTTGGTTATATATCTAACAACACCTTATTTATTAAATAGATTTGGCTCACGAGTAACTCAAATCTAACTATAATTTTCTAAATGTATTATAATAAAATTACAAGTATTAATAGAGTGTTAAAGTAACTAGAAATGGATAAAAATTGCATGATTTGTGGTGACAAAGCCAGTGGTGATTACGTAACCAATAATAATTTAATACAAATAATTAATAATAATTATTATTATTATGATTAGGTAATCATTTTGATGTCTTAAGCTGTGAATCGTGTAAATCATTCTTCAGGAGAAATGCAATCGTTAATAATGTATACAATAAAAACTAACCTTGTTAATAAAATGAATAATTGCAATTCTAAAACATAGGATAAATATCGGTGCTATTTGGGAGGTAACTGTCCCATTGATGTGAACACCAGAATTATATGTAAAAAGTGTCGTTTGGATAAGTGCTTAGCGATGGGAATGAAAACTGTATGAAAATTGTAAAACTTATACAATTTATATTTTAAAAATGATTTATTGAATTTGCATTTTATTTGTTAGAGCCTATTTTACTCTGATGATCACAAACGTATACTTAAAATGTCTATTGAAAGTAATAGACAACGAGAGCAAAGTGCTCTGTCTATAAATACCGGGATAGTTGTATCTAGTACATATTTTCCATCGCAAACAAATGATTCAATAGATTCATTTGGAAACTGTATCGACAATAATTGTATGGATTTCGGTAATACTACAAGCGATACTACTCAATACTGTATTAACAACAACAACAGCGATTCAAATGACCAAGTACCAAGTTTAGAAAGGTCTGCACAGTTTATTACAGAATCTACTCATTCAATAGAGTACGAGCAATCAAGTACCCCGATCATGAGACCTATTAGTGATTATAGCAATCAATTCAATGAATTAGAGGGCAATCGGTTGAGTGAACTGTTGAATGCCATCAATATTATAAAAGTCCCGACAATTAATAGGCATAGAAATGACAATTATTTGGTTATTAACAACTCATACGAAGCATTAAATATATTAATTGCCAGAATAGACAACAGTATTCAAAATATTGTCAAAGTATCCCAAAGTCTGAACGGATTTAATAGTTTGCGTGAACATGATAAATTGGTCTTGCTTAAATATTCATCCATAGAAATTGATATACTGAGACTCGTTTTAAACTTTGATTTCGAAACGCAATATTACTCTATAACTGATGTAATATTTTTTATAAACCATAATTTATAAACTAATTATTGCTATATTAATGGTCATGAATTTATTATACAGAATAATGGATCGTATAAAATAGGATTGGACTTGTTTAAGTCTCCAGTATTCCCAGGATTATTACCACTATTACCAGGATACATTGCTAATGGTGGTTCATATGTGCACCACAAAGAGTTTTTGGAAAATATAGGACTCGATTGGGAATCCGATCCTCTCATCATTGACCTGGTTAATCAAATTTTATTTTATTTAAATGGATAAAATGTTTATAATAAATGTATTTTTTATATGAAGTTGTCAGCAATTATTCTGTTTAATCCGAATCATCCAAATCTGTCACAAAAAGTAGTCGTTAAGTGTGTAATTATTGTTTAACCTTGTTCCAATATATCTGAAATTCAGATTCTGAAAATAAAACTTTTGACAAAACCTTTTTGTTTTAGGTATCAACAGAATATTTACATATATTTACTGAAACGCTATTTACAAATGAAATATCGATCGGATTTATTATCAAACTCTAAATTAATCCGGTTAATAAATGATACAAAAATGTTAAATTTAATTAGATGTAAGATTATAACGAATTCTAAGTTTGTTAATCCAATTTCATTTTCACATTTTTATGAAATTTGTATTTCAAGCAACGTGTAATTGTATTTAATAAAGTATCCAAAAAAATAAAATAAAATACTAAAGTACTTAAAAGTTAAAGGCTATAATTATTTAATTTATTGTATGATATAAGTATTAATTTATCAGATTATTTTGTCAGATTAGTATAAATGGAGAACATTTATTTTGTAAATAACATTGTATGCACTTTTGAGAATTTAGCCATTTTGATGCTAAATAAATAAATGCAGTTTTTAACTTTTTAATTTATTAATAAAATTTTCTTATTATTATTGTAAATTATTAAATCTGTATACAGTATTAACAAAAATGTCTAGTGAGACTGGTGAGAATTTGTGCCTTATTTGTGGGGATGTTGCTAACGGTGAGTCATTTAAATATGGATAGTATTAAAAATCAGCTAAAATATAATATTACAAACTATGAACTTAATTTAAAACAGGCTATCATTTTAAAGCAATAAGTTGTGAATCGTGTAAATCGTTTTTCCGAAGGAATGCATTGAGAAATGCCGTAAATATTAAGTCAGTTAATATACACTGTATTAGATTTTGAGCATTTACATTTAGGATTCATTCAATTGCTATTTGGGAGGTAATTGTTCAATAAATGTCGAAACCAGAAAGTGGTGTAAAAAGTGTCGTTTGGATAAATGTTTGGCCGTCGGAATGAAAACGGTAGGTGAAATTTTATTCACAAATTTTAATTAAGTTTTAATTTACAGTCATACTATATAATAATTAGTTTTTTACATTTAACTAGAAACTAATATTTACTGACAAACAAAATGAAGTCCGGAAACGGATTGTCGAGGAAAACCGAGAGAACAAACGGAAGGTTATGGACAAGAGTAGAGACGACTCTGTGCTCAACTCGACTACCAGTCCACCACCAGATGTATTGAATATGGAGATAAATATTTCACCGGAATTGTCAGACAGTACTAGTCTGTTTATTGACAGTAATGAATTGATTTCAAATGAAATTATACCAATCGTGAGGCCGATCACCGATCATAGGAATCAGTTCAATGAATTGGAAAGTAATAGATTGAGTGAACTATTGGGTGCCCTAAAGGTGTATCACATTCCCGTTACCATCACTGACCACATTGTTGTTGATAAATTAGAAAACACATTTCCAATCTTAACACAGATAAATGAAAAACAAATAAAAACCTTGGTCAATGTGTCCAAATGTTTGCATGGATTCAATAGCCTCTGCGAAAGCGATCAAATAATTTTGATTAAATATTCTGCACTCGAGATCGAAGTCTTGCGAATGGTTTTATGTTTTAATTTTGACCACAAATATTGGACTGTAATTAATGTATGTTGCGATTTATGATATAATATATTTATGATATAACAACTACTTATTTTTATACAGAATGAAAAATCGTATCAAATAAACCTAAAGCTGTTTAAAGAGTTTTCAATTGTTTCAAAGTGCAAATCCACTGATCAGTATTTATACCATAAGAAGTTTTTGCAGAATATGGGACTCGATTACGATTCTGACACCATTATCATTGAATTGGTATATTTGACATTATTTTTAAATACTTATTAATTTAAACTTTTTACAGTTAACAGCTATTGTACTCTTTAACCCAAACCGACCAAATCTAATACATAAACAAATGATTAAGTGAGTGATTAAATGCAATAAACTATTCGTTTAATTTTAACTATTAATGTTTGTTATAACTATAGATATCAACAGAATATATACATACATTTACTTAAACGTTTTTTGCAAATGAAAATGAATGCCAAATTGTTGTCAATGGAAAGACTTATACGACTATTAAATAATGTGAACATTTTGAATATTCTGATTGATAACTTTGTCCAGAATATTCTGACCCCAGAAAGTCTCAGTTCAGTACCACTTTTGAAGGAAATATGTGACAGAAATTAATACAATTTAAAGTTAATAAAATACCTTTAATAAAACATGTTTCGCTATTTAAATATCATGCTTAATTGGTAATGTTTGATATTTTTAATATTAGCAAATAGTTATTCAAAATTATTTATACCCAAATGGTGTGGAGTATAAATCATAGATAGCACACATATTCTTAATACTGATTCTTATCACAAACAATTAAGTATTTTAATAGTAAACACTACAGTACTGTTGCACATGGTGACATAAGTTTCACAGTATTTTATAAATAAATTAAGCTATTATAAAATTAATACAATTTAATTTAATAAATCTAAAAATCAGAAATGTCGAAAAGTACCAGTATGATTTGTCGTATTTGTAACGAAAAAGCTACTGGTAAGTCAGTCATTTAATTTGTTTAGTTTATATTTGTGGTTTGTACTGTGTCTATTATTGCATTAAAAATACAGTAAATTATAATTACGTTTTATTGGTAAATAGTGGGCACTTTTGATATTAATTTATTAAAATATTTTTTCAATATATAGGCTATCATTTCAATGTAATGACGTGTGAGTCGTGTAAAGCATTTTTCAGGAGAAATGCACTGAAAAATAAGGTATGAATCAAATGTAAAATAATGAATACTATAAATAATCATATTGTTAAATATCCAGGATCATTTCAAGTGCAAGTCAAGCGGTAATTGTAAAATAGATGTTAAAACCCGAAGTATTTGCAAAAGGTGTCGTTTGGATCAATGTTTTAAAGTGGGAATGAAAACTGTAAGTAGTTTAGTGTACCGGTATATTGTTAACAGTAAACCAAGTAAATTGTGACTAATTTTTTTGTACCATGCTTAGAATTTATTGTACTCTGATAAGCAAAAACAATTGAGAAAATCTATCATTGAATCCAATAAAAGACAACTATCAGGAGATATAAATGAAGTCATTGGTGGAGATACTGATCAATTTAATAGCTTTCAAAATCATAATTCAAGTGATAATTGCAGCACAAACAGTATTATTGTTAATGATAATAGCGTGGAATTAAGAAATAATTATAACACCGAGGTAATGGATAATCCGGGTCTTTCAATCATACCAATTGTGAGGCCGATCACTGATTATAGCAATCAATTCAATGAATTAGAGGGCAATCGGTTGAGTGAACTGATGGACGCCCTGAAGATTATGCAAATCCCGACCACAACATGCGATCATATTGTGGTCAATAGTCACCAGGATGCATTGAATTTAGTGATGGCACATAATGATCATAAAATAGAAAAGACTATTAAAATGGCTAAATGTATGAATGGGTTTAATAGTCTGAATGAAAGTGATCAAATGATCTTGATCACACACTCAGTAATGCAAATTGAAATCTTAAGAATGATTTTATGCTTTAATTTTACTGATAACTCGTGGACTTATATTAATGTAAGCTAGTACAGTATATGAACGTTTAAAATTACTTTTAAACTTTTAATTTTCTCACAGAATAATACTCCATATGTAATTAAACTGGATCTGTTTAGAAAGTATCCCGATTCTCAAACTAGAAATTTGAAGTCATTTGGTAATCACATGAAATTCTTACAGAATATGGGACTGGACTGGGAGTCCGATCCACTTATCATTGATTTGGTTAATTAAACTTTTATTAATTTGGTTTATTTACTAATTTATTTTTAACGCGTTTTCATAATTACAGCTAACAGCTATTGTCTTATTTAACCCGGATAGACCAAATTTATCCAATAGACCAGTGATTAAGTGAGTAATTATTTTGAAAATTTATTGTTTGTATTTAAATTTAAACAACTTAAATTTTATTTATTTCATAATAGGTATTACCAATACATTTATAAATATCTATTACAACGCTATCTACAAATGAAATGTAAATCAGAACTCCTATCGAAACCTAAACTTTTGAGATTAACAAACAATTTGGAGTATTTGAATGTAATTGGTCACAGAATATTAAAGTATGCTAAATGTTATGTAAACATAAATTCGTTGCCATTATTTAAGGAATTATGCGACTTGTATGAACAGCAAGGTTAATTTCAGTTTAACTTGATTAACAAAATTCTGTGCAACAGAATAATTTATATTTTGCGCTCATTTTTAAGGAAATGTGTTTTAACATTATTTCATAATATTAATTGTATAACTTATAATTATAGTTTATATTGTCATCCAATAATATTCATGTTTGCTAATAATAAATATCACCGCAACAACTCTATTAATTTATAATAGCTTAAAATTTAAGTCTTAAATTACTAGGTATCCAAGGTTACACTGTAGATATGGCGGATAGATTCAACAAATAACATTATATCATACTGTACTTATATAATACTCTGTATACCAAAATTTAATATTATCAGTGATTATAAATCAGTAAATACAAAGTTATTAAATCAAAATGGATTGATTATTTATTTTAGTGTATACATGGGAAATTTAAAAATACATTTTACTAATATTTGTAAGAATAATGTTAAATAAAGTATAATATGTATGAAATATTATTTGTTTAGTTATCGTATAGTAAGTAAGAATTGCCTTCACTTTCACGCAATTGCATCATTCAAGTGTCAACTTTTAAGTTAACAAAAACTTGAAACAATTCATTCAAGTTATTCATATTATCATATTATTTGGGACAATGTCAAATAAAAACAAAGTATGCGTTATATGCGGTGATAAATCCAAAGGTATGTCCAGTTAGTCCTAAATAAAATTACTTACCACAATTAGTTGATTCAACAAGCTTTTATTTTGTGATGAATAGGCTATCATTTTAGTGTCATTTCTTGTGAGTCGTGTAAATCATTTTTCCGGAGGAATGCCGAGAAAGGAGAGGTATGTTTAGCACTAATTGTATATTTATTTAGCACTTTGAGTAAATTTATTAAAATATTAATTTATATATTGAAATCTAGAATCACTACAAGTGTTATTTGGGTAATAATTGCAAACTAGATGTTAAGGGCAGAAATAGTTGCAAGAAATGTCGTTTAGATAAGTGTTTCGCAGTCGGTATGAAAACTGTGAGTAAAATATTTGCAGAAAATTACATTTAAATAAAATCCATTTGTTTTCGCATTAATTTCAGGACTCATTTCAAACCGATGAACAAAACCGATTGAGAAAATCTATTATTGATAAGAATAGGAAACGTAAACTTAGTAACACATCATCCATAACGACAAACAGTAGTGGGGACGGGGTTTACTCGGACACCAGTTCCCCTTTAAGATCCCCTCCACTATCCCCTCTACAACTCGATTGTGTGGACACAATCTCTATTGACGACAGTCTAACAGATATTTCCACAGATAATGACTTTGAAGATATCATTGTCTGTAATCCAGTTGTAAATAAGTCTGAGTTGCAGTCAATTGTGCCTATCATGAGACCCATCACCGACTATAGCAATCAATTCAATGAATTAGAGGGCAATCGGTTGAGTGAATTACTTGAGGCCACAAAACTCGTTAGTCTACCGACGCTCAGTGCCACCGCTAACGCTAACTACATATTTATCAACGACCCATTAGAAGCCATGAATGTGATGATAGCCAAAAATGACCCTCACATTAGATGTATAATCAATATGTGTAAAAGTCTGAACGGTTTTAACACACTCTGTGAGAGCGATCGCATGGTTTTGATTAAACACTCGTCGATGGAGATCGAGGTCTTGAGAAATATCCAGTGCATAGACTTTGAGCACAAAACTATTAATATAGTTGTCGTGAGTTTGGACTTCAGATTATTTAATGCAATCATAATTAATAAATAATACATACATTTAATTATAGAATGATACACTATATAAAATTAACATGAACATGTTTGGGACGTTACCAGAGCATATTCCAAACATGCCCGACATACCCGACAAAAATGATTTAATAAAAGACTTTCTTGAGAATATGGGACTGGATTGGGAATCGGATACTCTGATACTTGATTTAGTAAATAATTATTGAATTTAAAATATTTTATTTGTAAATCTAATACTGGTATATTTGATGAATAGCTATCAGCTATAGTGCTATTTAACCCGGATCGGCCTAAACTAAAATCCAAAGATGTGATTAAGTGAGTGGTTGAGTTAAAAATGAAACTAACTTTAAGTATATGAAAAGTTCATTTGTACATTGTTATTACAGACTTCAGCAAGATATATACGTCTATCTATTACAGCGCTATTTACAAATGAAGTGTAACTCAGAATTTCTATCAAAGGGAAAACTATTAAGGCTTTTAAATAACTTAAAATATCTCAATGATATTAGCAATGCAATCAAATTTATATCAAAGTATAATAATTTGGATTCATCTCCATTATTTAAAGAAATTGTTGATCGACCCTGAATATTTGTGTTTGTAAATCAAATCTTAAATAAATACCGTAGTACTAATTGTATACAATCTATCTTATTAATGCAATATATTGTATCAACATGTAAATATTGATTAGAATTAAAAATATTTTAATTAATTGAATATTTTAAATGTTTAAATATAGCTGATAAATTAAGTTTTACAAAATTACATTTTAATTTTTAAAATAAAATGTCACTATTAATTCATAAAACATTTTAATTTTTTGTTATAATTATATAATAACTAAAATGACACAATTATTCAAGTTCAGTATTGATTTTATATTATAATTCAGTACATAATGTACCCAATTCATGTTATTGTTGTTAAAATGGATCATTATTGATCATTTAATTAGTTTTAATAGATATTTCTTTGTAACAATTGATTTGCAGATCAACTATAAAATACAATTAAAAAGTAAATGAATAAATTAATGATTTATATGATTATCTATTATTAGTATCCAGGGTTACTGTGAAGATATAGTGGGAAAATATGGGGAAATATTTCTAAAATTTAGTGTAATTACATTATAAGTAATAGTACAGTTGTTCAGTAGCGACTATACAAACTATTTGCTTAGTAAACAAATTGAATTAAGTTTTACTACAAAATTTACTATAATTTTTATTTTTATTTAAATAGCTTTACTAAACATATTGTATTGATTGACGTATATTGATTTTATTGTAAATATTACCGGTATACTGTCAAGTAATAGCAAACATAACATTTGATTCTTTAATTAAATTAATTAAATATATATTGTAATATATTAACTAGTTGTGTATTTGTGGTGAGATAAACATTAAAATGTCAAATAAAGGCAAAAATAAAGTTTGTGTCATATGCGGTGATAAATCAGGTGGTAAGTATTTATAAAATAAATTAAACTCTGGAAAATAACTAAATTATTTATTATTTGGTGATGAACAGGCTATCATTTTAATGCAATTACATGTGAATCGTGTAAATCATTTTTCAGACGGAATGCCATGAAAAGCCAGGTATTTTGTCAAACGTGAATAACATATAATGTAAATTATGATTACAATTAGGATGAGTTTAAGTGTTATTTGGGCAGTAATTGCAAAATGAATATACGGGACAGAAATGGTTGCAAAAGATGTCGTTTGGAGAAGTGTTTTGCAGTCGGAATGAAAACCGTTAGTAAAACATATAAATAATGAATCCATATATTGGATAAAATAATTACATGTTTTCACACAAACAATGATTTTTTATTAGAATTTATTTCAGTCGGAAGAACAAAAACAAATGCGAAAATCGATGATAGAGGACAATAGGAATAGGAAACATAGTGTGGCCACAAATAGTAGCCGGGACAGTAGCGATTCAGACACCAGTCCCTCCCCGCAGACCATGTGTAATGACGTGAGCTCTTCCAGTGGACCATCGGATGATGACTTCGCGGATATACTTATGATCGCAAAAAAGCATGAAATGTCGGTCACACCTATCGTGAGGCCAATCACCGATTATAGCAATCAGTTCAATGAGTTGGAGGGCAAGAGGTTTAGTGAACTACTGGAGGCGACTAAGTTTGCTGTCATTCCCAACGATTATACCAACACTAACCAAATAATACTCAAGAATAGTTTAGACGCCTACAAAGTGCTCATCTCCAAAAATGACTTTCAAATCACAAATATTATCAAAATGTGCAAATGTTTGGACACATTCAATATGTTGTGCGAAACTGATCGCATGATTTTGACTAAACACTCGGCGATGGAGATCGAGATGTTGAGGCGACTCATGTGTATTGACTTCGAGAACAAATACGTCAATATAATTATCGTGAGTTTGTATATTGGTTAATTATCGGGCACATTTATACTTGCAATTATTACTATTAAATTACAGAATGATACCACGTACAAATTACATTTCGATTTGTATCAAAACTATCCATTTCGAGCCAAAGACTATATCGGGACCGATAATAATATATACATAGATTTTCTTGAAACTATGGGACTAGACTGGGATTCAGATATTACAATCGTTGACCTGGTTAATAGACTTTATTTGTTTTATTAATTAGTCAATTATTAATAAAATTTTATTTTGTTTAGTTAACAGCTATTGTTCTGTTTAATCCCAATCGGCCAAACTTAGTACATAAGCATATGGTTAGGTGGGTGATTATCAAATTAATAACTTGTAACAAATGTTATTAAATGTCATTATTTCTAAATACTAGGCATCATCAAAATATCTACCTGTACCTATTGCAACGCTATATAAGAATGAAATATCGTTCAGAGTTGTTAACAAAAGGCAAATTTCAGCGACTTATGGAAAACTTAAAGTATTTGAGCGTAATTAACAAGGTTATTGCAATGACTACCAAGAGAATGAAAATAGATTGCGCCCCACTTTTTCAGGAAATTTGCGACCGAGAATGATTATTTAATATTTATAATTTTAATTATATAAATTACTATCATTATAACTGCTAATATGTCATAAGCCGTAATAACAATATTTTATATAGTTTAATAGATTTTAAACGTATTCGCTTAAAATGAAACATTTCATATAACGAAAAGTACAATAAAAAAAATTGACAAGGAACAGAGTAAACTTATCCAGTAATGTAATGCATTAATTAATAATAATAAGTAATGTGAAACAATGACAAAAACAAAAGGTGTTTAATTAATGATGATAACCCTATCAGTAATATTGAGCAGTATACTGTACATTATTCAGTGTAACTATCAAAGTTATTTTCATACAATGATTTGTCAGTTTAATAAAGAATTTTGTTTGATAAAAATGTTAATAATTATATTATTATTATTATTAACTATTAAATTACAAAGAGTGCTTGCACTTTCAAAAACAGATTGTACCAAATGTGCCTGCTTAATCTTATTCCCATGCGTACGCTTTTTATGAATGCCTCTAACGAATATTAATTAGTAATCACTAAAGTGTCCAAGGTTATTATGAGTTATACGATGGAAAATACAATGCAATTCAGTTAAGTTTTGATTACATTAAACACATGTATTTATTCGGTGATAACTTGATACTAAAAGTATGCGATATTATGTGATTTAAAACATAAATCTCATTAAACAGTTGCAAATAAATTATAAAAACTTTATGAGAATAATGACAAGAAATAAAATGTAAGAAAAAGTATGCTTGGTTAGTTGTGATAAGGTTACAGGTTTGTGCATAGATTACATTTTATTCTTTAATAATTTTGTTTGAATTTTATTATATTTTCCTAAACTTATTGAACTTTTTTGAACTTATTTTATTATTACTATTAATATACGGTGTTTATTAAACAAGGTATCATTTCCAACCAACATTATTTAAAAATAAAATATCATTCTGAAATGGTAACAAACGGAAAATGCATAAGGTTTATGAGAAATATACAGAATTAAACAAACTTAACCAGATTATAAAAGTTACTTCACACAAAATTAATTTAAATAAAGCTCCACTGTATAAGGAAATTTGTAATTAATATTACCACTAAACGGTTTCAAAGAGAAAGGGGTTAACACTTTTACCCCCACACGTCACACACAACACGTCATATATCATACTGACAACAAAATACATACAGTATATCACTATTTATATGTTACAAAACCTTTATTTATTGATTGCAACTAAAATACATTTAAAATACAGTAATAACAGTCTCACCATTAATGTCTTCACTTGAAATTTTAAATTGATTAATATATTTAGCCTCATATTCCCTAACAACGAACCTAACGGTATCCCCCCATAAACTTTTACTTATTTTTGTGAAGCTTTCTGACAATAAATTTCTAAATTCTGTTTTATTCAAATCATAATTATTGTGACCCACAATCCCTTTCCATGTATTCCATATTAATTCGATGGGGTTGAGGTCACAGCAGTATGGGGGCAGTCTTAGGGGGTGACACCCAAACTTCTTTACAATGTCATCACAATAATATTGAGGATCTTTTGGATGTGCTTTAACTGTTGCTAATAACTGGGCTTTACTGTAGTCATCATTAAAGTGAATATTATTATTAATTAAATAAGTTTTAATTTCACTTTTGTTTGAACTCATTGTCGGGGTTTTATTGTACTGCCTGGAGTGCACCGGACTATTGTCATAAATTACGATAGTATTTGGGGGGAGGGATGGCATCATCGCTTCCATGTATTCTTCGAATATTTTTGCGTTAATTTCTTGGTTATAAAGAATTAGTTCTCCATTTGGCACAAACCCCTCCTCACCCCCACAGTGGACCACAGTATAGCGCAACCCCTTTCCCACTGTTTTATTAATGTCTGGTATTTTATTGCTGTCAATAGGGGTCAGAGTTTTCTTAAGCATATAGTTGTTATGAATGAAACTCTCGTCCAACCAAACAGTGGGGGGAGTCTGTCCATCAATACTGTTTGTCTTCTCAAGGATTAGTTTATTAATCAAATATTGTTTAATTAAATCTTGAATTCGCTTTGTGTTAATAATTTGTTCTCTAATTAAATGTTTAGTGTAGCGGTACTTATAACCCATTTCTTTCAATAATTTATAAAATGTGTCGATTTTGCACTCTTTAAAGCTAATATCACATTCGGGGTCTGACTTCATATAATGATAGACGTCTTTGATGGTCACACATTTGTGCATTTTATTCAAATACACTATTAAATTGTCAATAATTAAGTAATCAGATTCACAATAAGTATAAATTAGTCTTTTGTCTCTCATCTTCTTCGGCGGTGTGGGTCCGGTGGCCATAATTCGGCGGAAACTACTTTCAGAGATATCATATGTCTCGCAGACCTCATCAATAATGTCTTGTTTTGTAGAGTTTGGCTGTAATTGTGTTAATGTTTGGTATTTCTTGATCACAGACTCTTTGGTTCTCACACTTATATAGTTATTATTTATAAAACTAATTTGTTTATTTGTTTGACTCATTTTTATAATTATTTAATGACTATTATAATCACAATTAAGTTAATGACTTTTACTTAATTTTATCACATTTTTACTGTACAAATATACAAAAATCATTTATTTATCGACATTTTGGTACTTTTTACATATCATTTGTATTGCAATCATATTATAAAAGACCTTATAAAAGGTCTATAACTGTGATAACAGATAACACATTTCTAAACACGTTTATGATGTGTCGGCAGCCATGCTGTGTGTGACGTGTGTTTGTTTGGGGGAATGCATGCGTTTGTATCCCTTTCAGGTTATAGCCGTTTAGTGGTATGTATCATTTGAAATGTTTGTAAATAATATATTTCCTTATTACATAAACTACTACAGTGCATTGAATTATTAACTTTATACATTAGTATTTAATAAATATTTAAATATTTTGTTTGCATAATAAATACCGGTAAATATGCCATGATAAGTCTGTAGATTGCAAACTTTGTATACAATTTATCTGATTGATAAGGGGTGATTATCATCCAGGGTCATACTTTAAATATGGTGGCAGTTAGTACAATGTTTTGATTAGTTATTTAACAAACCAGTTTTATTGAATTTTGTCAACATTGTTATCAGTTGTGTATTTATTATTTGAGTGTATAAATAAGTGAACTGCTTGTTTAAGCTTGTTTCAATTTACTTAAAATTTAAATATACAAAAATAAATGACAGTATTCATAATAAATGTAAGAACTCGTGTGTATATAAATATCTATTTTTAATTTGCATTGCAGTAGTTATTAATAGATTGCATTAGCGATACTTAAAATAACTTTTATGCGTATACGTTATGTGTATTGGTGTATTCAAGTGTTTAATAAATATTGTGAATTGATTTAAAATGTCAAATACAAATGATATTAAAATGTGCCTAATATGTGGCGATAAAGCCGGAGGTATTTTATAATAATTATTATATATTTCATCTGGGTAAACTAATTAATATAACTATATTGTGATAATAGGCACACATTTCGGTGTAATAACATGTGAATCGTGTAAAGCATTTTTTAGGCGCAATGCTATCATAAAAGCGGTACGTTTTAAACTTTAAATTAATGTAGTACAAATTTAATTTATTTGTAAATAAATTAAGAAATATTTTTATACAATCAGGAACAATTCAAGTGCTATTTGGGCGGCAATTGTGATACGAGTGTCAAAAATAGGATTAATTGCAAGAAATGTCGTTTAGATAAGTGTTTTGCTGTCGGTATGAAAACTGTACGAAATTTGAAATAAATTTTATTTCTATTTAATATTAATAACAATTTCTTTAAAGGAGTTGTTTTGTGCCGAAAATCAGAGGCAAAATAAAAAGTCAAAACTAAAAGACATGAATAAACAAAATTCAAATATAAATTGTGAATCAAATAAAGTAGCGGTCAGTTGTGTCCCCACATTATGTCCACAAAGTAGTGTATATCCTAGTTCTGTGCAATCAATTAGCACTAATGAGAGTATTATCGAAGATTTCACTGACTTTTCAAACCAATTGTGTGAATTCAATGACAATTCAGTGAATACGACAGCCTCCGAGTGCTGGACAGTCGTACCCGTTATGAAACCAATCACTGATTATAGCAATCAGTTCAATGAATTAGAGGGCAATAAATTGAGTGAATTATTGGATGCCATCAAAGTGTTGAACATTCCGGTGGTGATGAACGCCGACCACATTGTACTGAATACAATTGAAAGTGCTTCCGATGCCATCGCTCACAAATATGATGTAGATATCAGAAATACGGTGACAATGTCTAAATGTTTGATTGGTTTTACAACCCTCTGTGAAAGCGATCAAATGTTACTAATTAAATACGCGTCCATTGAGATGAATATTTTACGCATGATCTTGGACTTTAATTTTGATGAACAATTCTGGTATATAAATACGGTATGATTTATATCCAGTGTTCATGTAAATCAACACTACCGTTACTAGTTGTAGCATTTTTCATATAAATTTATTTGTGTTAAATAGGGGACCAAGACGTGTATATACAAACTTGATCGATTCCGTGGATCAAAGTTGTCCCTGTCTAAATTTGCCCCTGATGGTATTTGTCACACTAAATTCCTGACTGATATGGGCATTGAATGGGATTCAGAGGCATTAGTAATTGATTTGGTAATTATTAATTAATTATAAGCATTGGAATGTAAACTTGTAAAAATAATATAAAATTATATATTAAGTACTATAATAACTATTCTTAGTTAACAGCAATAATCCTGTTTAATCCAAATCGGCCTAAACTTACAAACAGACACATAATTAAGTGAGTTATTGGATTGAATTTGAGTTGTTAAGTCTAACATTTGATTTGTCATTGTAGGCACCAGCACAATATTTACATTTATTTGCTGCAACGTTATCTAGAAATGAAATATCGGTCACGTTTTCTATCGAAAGCCAAACTCATGAGATTAATGAAAATTTTGATGGATGTCAATCTCATTGCCAGAAAAATTATAAACTATTCGAGAAATCGCACGTGGACTAATCATTTAAACTCTGTGCCACTCTTCAAGGAAATACATGATACCTTTTAAACTGAATGCAATTTATAATAATTAATAAAACTACTTATTTGTGATATTTATCAACCAATAACATATCTTACTATACAGTAATATTAATTGTATTATTTTTATAGTTTTTGCAATTCGTTCTTTTTATATTTACAAGGAATCCATTTAATATTTTAATAATTAAATTTAAATAGTTTTATAGAATTAGAATTAATTATTGAATAAACTTAAACCTAAAATTGATGAATGTACATTAACTCGTATAAGAATTTAGCAGATATTTGTGAACATACAGTATACTGTAACTATTTTCTAGTAATGAGAGAATTCAAAGTGTTATAAAATCCAAGGTTATATCATACTGTATAAACATAAACATAATATTGTATGTATAATATACATTGTATAATATATTATAAACTATGGTGGACAAATTGTGCATTAATTCATAAATATTATATATTTAAAAGTTAATATTAATTTAATACAGTATTTGTGAAACATTCTTTAGGATTATGGTTTAGCTTGATAAAATTGTATATATGTTAAAAAATTAAATGTACAAATTATACCGATCATTGAGTATACAGTATTCTCAATAGTACTGAATAAATTTTCAATTTGAACCAAGGATCAAAATTAAAATTGTAATTTGTTTATTATTTTTAAAAATATGCAAAACAAAAACGAAAGCAAATGTCAAATATGTGGTGACAACTCATGTAGTATGTATTTTACGAAAATGGGTATATAATAAATAAATATACAATTATTGTCATTTTGTGGTGAATAGGCTATCATTTCGATGCCATGACCTGTAGTTCTTGTAAAGCATTTTTCAGGAGGAATGCTCTCTTCAAAGTGGTAATTATTATATTTTTGATAATGGATTTACAATTAAAATAATCTAATATATGTTAACAGGATCAATTCAAGTGCTATTTGGGCGGTAAATGTATAATAGATGTGAACAACAGAATTAATTGTCGGAAATGTCGTTTAGATAAGTGTTTTGCAGTCGGCATGAGAACCGTTAGTAAATATATATAATATTAATATAACTTATTATATATATATATATTGCATGACATTTTATGGACACTATTATTGTTTTGTAAATAGGATTTATTTCAATCTGAGGGACGAAAATATAAGACAAAATTAATTAAAAGTATAGAAAATAAAAATTCAAAAGATGTGTCCGAAAACACGAATCAAATTGTTGTCTCAACCTGTAGTCCATTTCCCGACATATCTCGGAATATCATTGATGAAATTGATCATAATTTAGATAATGTAGTAAATGATAATATTCCTAATAATACATCAATGAATTCAAATATGTCTGAACAAAATCTATCGGTCACACCAATTATGAGGCCGATCACTGATTATAGCAATCAATTCAATGAATTAGAGGGCAATAAATTGAGTGAATTATTGGACGCTTTGAAGATTATGATGAATCCATTGGAAGCTATGGAGGGACTAATAATTACTCCCGAAATGTTTAGCGATGTTTTCAAACTATTTCTTACAAGACATGAGAATGAGAGCCGAAAAATGGTTAAAATGTCTAAATGTTTGCCCGCGTTTAGTACGTTGTGTGAGCATGATCAAATGATTTTAATCAAATACGCCGCCATTGAAATCAATGTCTTGCGAATGATTTTGGATTTTAATTTTGATGACAAGTCCTGTAGATTAATGGATGTAGGTGATTTTAATAAACAGGTCTGATGCTAATTATTAATTAAACATTTGACTCAATTGTAGAAAAATCAAATTTTTGTATTAAATGTGGACGCATTTCACTGCACTCAGTATTCACTGACCACAATTGATCCAGGTAATATAAATCATCATACCTTTTTGCAAAACTTGGGACTCGATTGGGATTCAGAGATTCTTATTATAGACCTGGTATATATTTACAATTATTTTAAATAAATTTACAACTATTTATAATGTTTCTACATATTAATAGTTAACAGCAATTGTATTGTTTAACCCGGATCGTCCAAAACTTATTAACAAAACATTTATTAAGTAAGTAATTACACCACATACTAATTTATGACATACTATTACCGTACATTATTAGATTAATATTTTATAATGATATTTATTTACCTGTTTACAGTTTACAGCAAATAATTTATATTCATTTACTTGAACGCTATTTACAAATGAAATATCGATCGGAAATGTTATCAAAAAGAAAATTCTTAAGATTATTAGAAAACCTAAAGGATTTGAATATTATTAACCATAAAATGGTTGAAATATCAAAGAATACGGATTTAAATTCATTTCCACTTTTCAAGGAAATATGCGATAGTTTTTAAATTTAGCATTTAAATATTGTGATTAACAGATCAAATAATTAATTGTAATATACGCTATAGTTTTTGTAAATAAATATTTTGTTTTTGTATTAGTCTAGATTGTTATAATTATCTGTAATTAAATTATTATGATAGAGAAAATATTATATTAAATATGTAATTTATACTCAAAAATGCTAACTTTGCTTTTGTTTATCGTGTTAATTGTGTTTCACTTACTTAAACGGTATCTATAAATGAAATATCGATTAAAATTACAAATTATTGAAAGACAAACTTAATATTAATTAAAAACTCAAGTATTTTTATATAATTAAGAAACAGTTTCAAATGTTCTCAATGAGTAGTGATTTGTTATAAAAGAAATATGTAGTTGCAACTAATATGTACCGGTATTAATTTAATCAATTTACTGTTTAAATAATTATACTATCATTATAAAATCTTGTTCCCTGTATTTTCCCATATACTTTTGTTAAGGTTGTTTATTTAGGCTGTACTGGTTATCAATAAATTCTTGTAAACAACTCATACAGAATATTTATTTAATTATTAATTATGTCGATTAAAGTACATTATAAATACTATGATTATTTACACATCTATTTGTACATTAAATAGAAAAATAGAATAACTAATTTAATATTTAAAAGTACCCTAATTATTTTTTTGATAAATCAGATCTATAAACTTATAAGAATTTTGACACACTTAATTTAATAAATACATATTATTTGTAGATTAATTCACACATTAAATATTTCTCACAAAACAAAACATTTGATTTCAACGTATAAAACCAAATCAAACTAGTTTATATTTAGTCAGATATTTATTACGCTTGCACTTAAAGTAATAATAAGTCTTATAAACTAATCCCTACAGAAAATCGTATCAGGGACTTATCAAATGTTATAGGATGCACTTCAATATTACACATCCTTATAGTAACATACACTTTGAATACTAGTAACCCCTTCACTTGTTTATATATTATTTTTTTTGTAAAGTTGCTAAAGAATATTCAGATAAGCAAGTACAATTAGTGCGAGTTGCTAACAAGTAAGTATTACTTTTGTAATACTTATATTTAGAATATATTATCCTAAATTTAACTATAAATAATTATTTATAGATCCACTTTTACATAAAATTAGTAGAATAATTATAAATACATTAATTATTTTTGATAAATAAAATCTATAAAGTTGACACACTTAATTTTTATAGAAATCCTTTTATTTGTATAGTAATTTTGCATATTAGACACAAAACAGTAAATATTTTTCATTGCATGATATTAATTTTAACTAATTTATTTGTAAATTATTTAGTAAATAAATTTACTTTGCGCATCTGATTTATTCTGACACCTGTGATTACTAATTAATATAGCAATTACTGAAATAAAATTTAATCAGAATAATTATCAACGACCACAATGTACTCGGTCGGATGCACTAAAGTTCCTCATAATAACATTTACTTTGACAGAGTCCTCTCCCCATGTGTACGTATTTTGTGAATGCCTCATAAGAATATTAAATGATAATCATCATTGATATCTAATGTTATAAGTGCAACTTGTGTAGAAAGTATAACATATACAATTCAATTATGGTTATTTAATTTTTTCTACATATGTATTGTGTTCATTTGTTCACACATTTGTTTGCTCAATTGACTATAAAAATTGTATAAATATGATATATTCTGGTGATATTTGTGTGATTTATTCATAAATATAACTGAAATGAAAAACAAAATTGAAGATAAAGTATGTCTAGTTTGCGGGGATAAGGCATTAGGTTTGTATCAATTTATAAATTATTAGTTAGGTTTTAGGCATTAGGTCTATTTTCATAAATTATTTTAGTTTTTTTTAATAATTAACTATATAGTAATTACTAAATTTATATCACTTACACTATATTTTATTAAACATTAATAAAATATAATCTGAATTGAACAGGGTACCATTTCCAAGCCATCAGTTGCGAAGCGTGTAAATTATTTTTTAGGCGAAATGCAACCAAATATGGGGTAATTATTCAAAACAATATTCTGTATTTTACCTGATATTGTATAAATACTTTTACTAACAGGATCAATTAAAGTGCTATTTGGGCGGTGAATGTGTAATAAATGTAATGAATAAGAATTGCTGTAAGAAATGTCGTTTAGATAAGTGTTTCGCAGCCGGTATGAAAAGTGTGAGTAAAATATATTGTAGTATTATTGACAATAATTTTTTAAGTTATTTATATTTATTTTTTGTTAGAATGTATTGAATTCTGGAGAACAAAAGCAAATAAGAAAATCTATTAAAGGCAACAAAAATGTTAAGATAGATAATAGTTATAAAAATAGCACTTCCGATGAATTCTTAACCCGACAAATATCAGACTATAAAGTTTATGTCAAAAATATTGTATTGGGAAAAGATTTGCCAAACATTGAATTATCAATGAATACAAATGCTTATGATTTAGATCTCTCAGCCATACCTATCATGAGACCTATTAGTGATTATAGCAATCAATTCAATGAATTAGAGGGCAATCGGTTGAGTGAATTAATTGATGGACTTAAATATATAATGTATCCCGCAAATAATATTAAAGATTGCAATATAAACAGTACTAGCGATGCATTTAAAATAGTACTCCAAAGTCATGAATATGAAATCCACAAAATTATCAAAATGTCTAAATGTTTCAACGCGTTTAAATCACAGTGTGAACATGATCAAATGGTGCTGATTAAATATGCCTCGTTTGAAATCAATTTCTTACGAATGATTTTACATTTTGATTTCAACAACTTTAATTGGACCGTCAATATCGTAAGTTATTTTTACTTGAAAATGTGAAATTTTATTTAATCTATTCATATGTGTACAGAATGACAGAAATTATAAAATACAAATCATGTCGTTTCGAGGCACAGAATATTCACTATCTAAAATAAAGCCTTATGATGTTAACCATGGTACTTTGTTGGGTAAAATGAGAAAAGAGTGGGACTCTGACTTGTTTATAATTGACCTGGTACTATTTATTATATAACTTTTTAAATAATAAGTTTTATATTGGTTATAACATTTATTTATAGTTAACTGCCATCATATTATTCAACCCAAATCGGCCTAACCTTGTTAATAAAAATGTAATTAAGTGAGTTTAATATAAACTAAATATGTTGTTTACTATTTATTTATATAAAATATAATTATAATTTTATTTTTTTAATACCTAGGTTACAGCAATGTATTTATTTACATCTACTTCACCGGTACCTACAAATGAAATATCGATCGGAAGTGCTCTCAAAAAGCAATGTTTTAAAGTTTATGGAAATATTGAAGTTTCTGCACATTCTTAACCACAAAATGGAAAAGTTTTTACTGAAAGTGGACTTAAGTTGTGTTCCCCTTTTAAAGGAGATATGTACTCGCTATTAAATTAATCGTACTATATTTATTGTTAAATTATTAGTTTACTATTTATGATACTGCACATGTTACATTAAATTAATTAATTTTCTTATTGATTTTCAAACTAATTATACATTAATAGGCAAAATATAGCTTTGAACTATTTAGAATTTAATTATTTTTATGTATGTAGTACTATGTATTGTACATGTAATAGATATTATATTAAATGATAATTAATTAAGTTTGGATATTGATAAAATAATTATAATATAATATATAAATTAATTATGGTGCATTTTTGCAATTTATCCAAATAATGTTACATATAAATATTAGTAATAATTCTTTAAACAAATATTGACAAAAGTATCTTTACGAGTATAAATACTTTTATACTTTCAAATAAAATATTTAATAAATATCACAATTAATTGTTATTATGTCGCAATACGTTGTGTTCACTTATTAACTTAATTAAAAGGTAACTTTAAAATTGTTATATATTCTTAAAGTAAAATACAAAACTTATGATGACAATACCAGGTTTGTTACATATTTGTTACTTTATTTTAGATTGTGTTACTTAATTATTTTATTTATTTATTTTTATTTAAAAAATATAATGATCTTATTTAGAGTGAATTAGTATTGTTGTTGACAAGTACTCAAACTAATTACTAAATTAAATGTATAGTGTTTTGAGAAATTCTTGCACACATTAAACGAAATTGACAAGGCTGCATTCACAAAGTGCATGCTTATACGGTGGGGTAGGGATTGATAATTATACTTACCATTGTCATATTTCTACGTGATTATAGGATAGGGTGATTATGAATTCACAAAATTCTGGGGTTTATACCTTGTAAATGTTCTCGATTGAAATGTATATTGTATCGATATATTGATAATATATAATAGAAATCATTAGAATTATTAGATATAATTGGTACCCAAGGTTATGAATAATACAGCATATGGTGAGAAATACAATGCAATTCAATTTTGTTTGATTTATTGTATTTTTAATCATGTGAACATAACAGTTTTATCCATTTTTAAACAAGCTCACTTGGTACTATTCGTGTGAATTATTTGCAAGATTTAAATTTTATACAAATGAAAAACAAAAAGGAAGACAAGCTTTGTATGGTTTGCGGCGATTTGGCCACAGGTTTGTATGAATTCATAAACACTTTTAAATATTTTATTTTTAATCGTTTACTATACTGCACTCTACTACTGTATATACATGTCATTATTACTTACTGTTTTAAATATAGTCTCTATTTATGATATATTTTTGTTTATCTATTAAATAATTAATATTTAATTTATATAAACAGGGTATCATTTCCATGCCATCACTTGTGAAGCGTGTAAACTATTTTTCAAGAGAAATGCTATGAAAAATGAGGTAATTCTGTAAATATTCTTGATAACATTTACTAAATTTACAAAATTTCAATCACTTTATAACTAGGAACTATATCATTGCTTTTTGGGCAATAAATGTAACATAAATGTGAACACTAGGAACAGCTGTAAGCCATGTCGCCTAGCTAAATGTTTTGCAGTCGGAATGAAAAGTGTAAGTACACAAAATAATATCTAGGTCTACAATTGATAACTAGTGTCTTAACCATATTTATTGTAGAATGCATTTCAAACTGAAGAGCAAAAACAAATGCGAAAAACTATTAGAAAGCGAGACATTAATTATCGGTCGGAAACCAGTGATGAAAACAGTACTTCCAATAAATACCCATCGCATCAGACATCGGATGATGTTATTTATGATAACTTTCCAAATGTTTTAGCAGACAGTGAATTATCACTGAAAACCACAAACGCTTATGACTTGAATCTGTCGGTCATACCTGTTATGAAACCCATCACTGATTATAACAATCAGTTCAATGAATTAGAGGGCAATCGGTTGAGTGAACTCTTGGATGCTCTGAAGGTTATGATGAATCCTATGGTCAACGTTAATGATAATGAAATAAACGCTTATTCTGTCGATGCCTTCAATTTGATACTTCGGTGTCAGGAGAATGGTCTCCAAAATAATGTCCAAATGGCTAAACGTTTGAATGGATTTAAATCGCTGTGTGAGCATGATCAATTGACTTTAATTAAATACGCGTCCATTGAAATCGTTGTCTTGCGAATGATATTAACTTTTGACTTTAATAAATTATGCTGGTCATTTAACATAGTATGCATTTTTATTTTCGTTTTATTCATTTTGATTCATATTTGTATATAATATGATTTATTACCAGAATAATCACAATCATATTGTGAAACTCCATGTATTTCGGGACACAAAATATTGCCTGTCCAAAATAAAGCCTCATTATGTTAATCACAAAACATTCCTGGAAAACATCGGTCTTGAATGGGACTCCGATGTTATTATAATTGACCTGGTATTATTTATTTTTAAAAAAATTTCTAAAAATATAATTTTATTGTATATTTATAGTTAACTGCCATTATATTGTTTAATCCGAATCGACCTAGCCTCATTAACAAAACTGCCATAAAGTGAGTTATTTTATTTATATTATATTATAGCATAATTATCTATATTAATATATTTTTGATTTAAATATAGATTACAGTATTATATTTATGTTCATTTACTTCAACGGTATCTACAATTGAGATATAGATCGGATGAAGTATGTAGGCGCAAAGTTGTAAATTTAATCAAGAAATTAAACTTTTTGCATATTGTTAATTTGAAACTGGAAACGATTTTAATGAAAACTGACTTAAGTTTCTTTCCGCTTTTAAAAGAGTTATGTAATCGCGACTAAAAAGTTTATATTTATGTTGTTAATAGCTGTCAAGAATAATAGTAATATTATTGTTATAAACTATTAAACTACAGTAGTTTATAAATAATTAATTGTATTTAATGTTATTGTATTTATAAAAATTTTAAAGTTATTTTAACAATTTGTAAATTTTTATGTGATAAATACAGTATCGTATACATTATAAACTTAATACAAAAAATAACAAATATTCTAAATTCTTTAAACTTTTACTTTATTTCATAATTTATAGATTGCAGCATTATACACTTGTAAATTTACCGGTATATTCAATGCCATTAAAACTATTACATATCGGCTTAACTAACAAGGAATTATATCAAAATGAATATTCTTTTGATTAATAAATGAGCTAAATTATTCATAAAATTTAATGTTAATTAATTATGAGCAGGTTATTTTTATAAAATTAATAATATAATTTGTCTAAAATATTTATCCTAAGTATTCAAGGTCATAATAGAAATATGGTGGATAATATACTGCTATGCAATGCAATAAGTCTATTGTTAAATATTGACAGTTATCTGTGAAAGGTGATTTTATATTTTTAGAGACATAATTATTTTTGACCAGATACTGAAAATTAAACATTTTAATCAAATAACCACTAATAGTGTATTAGCTCATTTATATTTAATGATATACAGTATTAAGTCAATAACTTCATTATTATTAATATTTTAAACAGTCAAATTATTTTTGTTAAACAAACAGAATCTATTTGATAGTGAATTCTAGTAATTGTTTTAATGTTTGCAATATTGTCATAAAACCATAAGTTTAATAAACATGACAAACAAAAGTGGTGACAAAATATGTATGGTTTGTGGAGATCGAGCCACAGGTTTGTAAGAATTTCTATACTAATTACAAAGTTATCACCTTGGACATAGTCTAAAATATGAAAATATAAATTGAATAATCAGGGTATCATTTCCGTGCGATCACTTGCGAAGCGTGTAAACTATTCTTCAGGAGAAACGCACCCAAACTAATTACAAAGTTATCACCTTGGACATAGTCTAAAATATGAAAATATAAATTGAATAATCAGGGTATCATTTCCGTGCGATCACTTGCGAAGCGTGTAAACTATTCTTCAGGAGAAACGCACCCAAGCATGGGGTAAATCTGACAAAAATGATTAACCTTTCGCTAAATTCTGTATCAAATTAATTATACCCAATATTAGACACTTGAATGCTTTTTGGGCGATAAATGTGAGATCAATATGTATAATAGGAATGGTTGTAAGAAATGTCGTTTGAATAAATGTTTTGCAGCCGGTATGATAAGTGTGAGTAAATTATTTGTGAGATTTATAAAAACAAATTTGTATTTATTTATAATAATAAATTTTAAAATATTTACAGAATTCGTTCAATACTGATGATCAGGAGCAATTGAAAAATCTGACCGTTAATGACAGCACCAAATTGAAAGTTAATGATAAAAATATCACTTTAAATGATTGTCAATCATCTGAAAAATCAGATAATATGAGTGATTTTGAAAGTGCATTAGATGTTATTGAATCCACACAATCAAATGCTTATG